TATGTTATTTTCTGTCTATTACAAATGGTTCCTTATATAGATGTAGGTGTAGTGGATGGTGTGTAGTGGATGGTGATAGTGGTGTAGTGGGTTAGGTTTAGTGGAGTAGGGTTAGGTTTAGTGGAGTAGGTGAGGTGGTAGTGGTGGTAGGTGATGGTAAATTCTAACAAAATTTCTACTTCTGGAACTTCCAAAAGATAAAATGATGCAGAAGTTTTGTGTGGATTTTGTCATTGGGTTATTAATTGTATTTTATGACAAATCGAGGCCATGTATGATGTATTTAGTACTTGACTGAAATGCTTCACTTTCAGTTTATAGGAAAGAAGGCTGCTTATGCCTTGAGTGAGGGTCTTGGAGTTATAGCTTGCATTGGAGAACTATTAAATGAGAGAGAAGAAGGGAAAACTTTCGATGTTTGTTTTCAACAAATGAAGGCTTTTGCAGGTGAGGTTCCTTGGTTGTGTTTATTTTCTCAGAAATTCACCGACTATGGGATTTTATTTTGAACCAGAAACGGGTCTTCCATCTTTTCACATGTAAATCATTGCCCATGATATGCAGATGCTGTGCCCAGTTGGGATAATGTAGTAATTGCTTATGAACCTGTATGGGCAATTGGAACTGGTAAAGTGGCCTCACCTCAACAAGCTCAGGAAGTACATGTAGCTGTTCGTGATTGGCTAAGAAAGAATGTTTCAGCAGAAGTTGCTTCTAAGACACGTATTATCTATGGAGGTATTCTTCTTTTTATATTATCTGTATAATCATGTAATTATTCTTTGGCAGTTCGTTGTTTGTGATATATTGTTTGGTCCTGTATCACAAGATATAAAGAAAGATCTCACAGCCTTCATTTTTCAAAGCATTCATGTCATAATCCACTCTGTGATATTACTTACATACTTGAACTGGGAAGAATGATAATAAGATTCTCTGAACATGAGGTTGAGAGGTGCAGTATGGTCAATAATGGTTTACTCTTGAGTTGCTTGAGATATATACACAACACACGACTTTTTTTTTCTTTTAAAGTAACAAACTTGAAGATTAGTTAGAGGCCTCGTGGAATTTGATCCACACCAATATGCTTCATCAGAACATAAAACCAGTTATGCACTAATTAGACCGTCAACTTGATAATTAAAGCATGAAAATTTAATAGGACAAAGCATACTTGGTGAATGACATTATCCATAACCTGGAGCTTCTTCGGCACTGTCTGCATTAATGTCTGGGGTGGGTGTGGTTTTTTTCCTGCTATTGTCTTCCCAAGTTATGAACCTTTCTTGGATGGCTGGTGCTTGAACACATGAAAGGTGGAGATATAGTTGGTGGGGTTGTTTTGCTTTCTTCTCTGTTTGGCTGCAGTAGAGGACCGGGCTTCTGTGTTGTATTTCTTTTTGTTTGTGTTTGTTCCCTTGTTTGTGTTTTTGGTTGGTTACTCATCACCCTCAGTGTATTGCTTGCAAATGATTGTGCTTGCTTAATGGTGCCAACCTAATTGGGATGGTTTTGCTTGCTTTGATGCTTGGAGAACTCTCCTTTTCCTTTATTTATGTTTGTTACTAGTGTTCTTGTACATTGCTTTCTTTCATCAATAAAGTTTTTGCCATTTTGCTGATCAAAAAAAAGAAAGCATACTCGCTGCCTTCCCATATTAAACTCATCATGCCAATAACTGCTTGGCCTCCAATCCATGCAATCTGCGTAGGCTGATAAATATTATTTTGTACTCTTTTTTGAAGACACACACACACAAGGACTAACGGGGAGCAACTCTGATGCGTGTACTGTTCTCATTGCCTATCCTCTCTCTCTCTCTCTCTCTCTCTCTCTCTAATGACAGACTTCATTTCCAATCATGTCAGCGAGTATTATGTACTTACCGATGATTATGAACTCTGCAATTTGTGCTCTCCATACTGTCCTTACAAGCTCTATTTGTCTGAATACTCCAAGAATTCAAGATTTAGCATTAGTTGATTTGCTTATAATCACTAATCAGAAATCAAATTTATTCTGCAGGATCTGTAAATGGTGGCAACTGTGCTGAGCTTGCAAAACAAGAAGATATTGATGGATTTCTCGTTGGCGGTGCTTCCTTGAAGGTATTATATGTAATCAATCTGTGTATAATATTGAGTACTAAAAATCCTTTGTGCACTGTATCATATGATTAGTCTTTCCATGTTGATTAAAATAAAATATATTCAGAAGATTATCTATAAACTGTGAATCGGACACTAGGATATCTGCATTTTCAATTGACTCTTTCCTGTGAGTGTGCATGTTCATTTTAGGGTGGAAAAGATTTCTATCATCATTAGTAAAGGAAAATGTTATATACATATTTGAGTAGACATTATTTTAGCATACCAATATATATATAAACTGTAACATGGTGTATGTATTTTGTGTCGTTTTTGTATGGAATAAAAACAAAAAGATGTTCAGATAGAAACCCCAAGGGGTTGGTCTGGTGATAAGGCCTTGGGTCTGGGAAGTATGCTCCCTCCAAGATTCGGGAATCCAAACTTCTTAGGTGTTAGCAATTCTTTGGGGCCTAAAAAATAAAAAAATAAAAAATAAAATGTTAAGATGGTGATAACTACTTTTTGATATTCATATCGGCTACTTGTTGACAATGTGGAAAGTATAATCCTTGTTTGTCATGGAAAAACAAAGAAGATTTGGGATATTTCATTCCCGGAAAAGGTATTGGTGTATTCATGATCAAAAGTTGATTTTATGTGGTGCAGGGTCCCGAGTTTGCGACCATTGTCAATTCTGTAACTTCCAAGAAGGTTGCTGCATGATCATGCATGGTGGTTTTGGCACCTGGGCAAATAAATGGTTATGGAATCGCCTTTATGTTGGAAGCGTCAAGTGCCAAGCATTTGAATTAGTTCAGTTTGGTAGGATTTTGATCATTTTACATTTTCCCGGCCACAATCATTTCACTTTGATTTGGTTGCTCCATCTGTTTGAGCAAGACATATTAAGGTATAAAATAATTGTCAACATAATGGCATATATGTTTAATTTGATGCCATGTTGACTTGCCCATTAGAATGATAATTTGACACTGCATGTTCTGACAACTGACAAACATGGTTTGTGTTATATTACCCTCTTCTTTTTTCTTTTCTTTTTCTGGAGTTACGCATGCAAGAAAAGGAAAAATATTCAAGAAAGTAGAAATTAAGGGTCAGCATCCGGAAGGAACAGGCCAGACAAATGATGTCCAACCCACTTGCGGGCTTAGCTAGCGGGCTTTTTTTAACGGGCTGGGCTGTTTATCAAAACCTTAGGCTCAAGCACTACTCAAAGGACTTGGCCCAAATGAGCTAATAGGAGGGCTTTTGCGGGCTAGCCAGCAGGCTTAACCCAATGGGCCGAGATTAGGCTATTTTTTTGGGGGTCTGATTTTCAGTTTCCCATATTTTTTCCTTCTATATATATATATATATATATATTTTTTTTTTGTCTGCCTTGCAATCCATCGAGCCTCCTCTCACTGGCCAACAGGTAGGTAGGTAGGTAGCCAGGCTGAGCTACACTGCAAACAAACCCTAGGCCTAGGCGCAACCCAAGCCTCATACAGTTCGGGCCAGTTAAAGTCCGCTGGGCCTGGTCTTTTGAGTCCAATGATGAGCTTTAGTAGAAATCATATAATTGATTTTTTTTTTAGAAATTAGGGCTTTGCATTTTTTGCAAAAACATGAGAATTTTTACTTTCTCATGAAATTTGTTTATTTTAGGATTTCCTTTTTATCTACTCAATGCAATTTAGATAATACATTCTTATTTTCTCGTAACTTGCTGAAAACCTTTCTATTCAAGTAAATGCATGTTTCGCACACTTCTTTCATACACTGGAATCAGCCCCTTGAGTGGGCATTAGACCAAAAACAAAGTTGGTTAGGAAGAATCCATACTCAAAGCATATATGCTAAAGCTGCCCAAATTGTAAAGCAAAGTCAGTCACTCTCTCACTGCTTATACAAACCATTCATGCACAACCCCACCCCCCACCATCAAAGTCTGGTTCGTACCTGTGCCCCCCCCCCCCCCCCCGCCACTCCCGTTGCTCAGTGTCTTCGCCATTGTCATTTTCTTCTTGTCACTTTCCCAGTATACAAACTACAAGACTCAGATCATGGAACACACCAAGAGCAAGTTCCAGCTGTTCTTCCCTGTCTTGTTGCCCATATTGCTGGTCCTAATCTTGCTTTCAGGACTAACCAATGGGATGACGTTCGGCTTCTGGTCTTCGCGGCCTGAGCACCGCCACCAAAGAAGTGGCTCGCCTTGGGGTGTTGCTGCGGTCTTGGTGGCAGTGCTTCTGTTGTTGGTTTCTTATGGGTCCTCATTTTACCCGAAGTGGTTTTTAGGTTAGATTAGTTGAAGAAATTCTCCCTTTGGGTTTTCTTGAGTTAATTACACTTAGCACCCAACATTTTACATAAAATTTTACTTTGGACCTCTATTTTCGGTTGTGATGGTCAATGACAAGTTGCAGTGTTACCCAGTCAAGAAAGTCCTGATCCATTGAAAAATAACTGTGGTGTGAAATGTTGGAATTGATTATCACAATAAAAAATAAAGGGGTTAAAGTGTGATTTTGTGTATAAAATATATGGGTGTTAAGTGTAATTTATCTTTCTTTTTCTTTTTTACCCAAATATATATGCATATATATATATATATACACTTTGACTTTATGTTACAAGTCATGTTCATCTAATGTGCCAAAATAAATAAATAAATAAATAAGAAAGAAAAAGATATTGTGTTTGTAACCTTTTGCTTACTTGGTAAGTAAATGGTGGATTTTTTTTTATTTTTTTTATTATTATTTTTTTTTTTGTCAATGTAAGGTAGTTCTGTGAATGTAAAAAATGGTTCATCTATTAAATTTGAATTTGTCTTAATTGTTTGAATTGGTACATGTTGGACGATCGTTCGGACGATTACTCAGACAATCAGTACAACCCTTGTTAATCGCAATTGTCACCCTTGTCAATCATAACTGTCACTCTTGTTGCCATATGATTGGCTTGTCGATTGACATGCACAAATTCGAACGATTTAGCAAACTAAAATTCGATAAATCTAACATTACTCGTCAATGTATAAGTGTTTACTCTATTTTTTGGTTTATACATTTGTTTTGGTATTTGTGGCTATTCTTAAATGAAAATTTGGTTTGTGATATGACTCTATTCTTCTTCTTTCTTTTTTTTTTCTTTATTTTTTTATTTTTTGAAAATTTCAAAATGAAATACTCACTAGCGTAACATAAAATTTTAAAAAATAAAATAAAAATACAATTCTCACAACATTTTGGATGATTTTTTTTAATATAAAAATTCTATTCTTGTAACTATTTTTCCTATTGCAAAACAATGACATGACCTTTGATTATTTCTTCACTTGTGTAACTTCTTTCCTACTCATAATATAATGAGTGGGGAACAAAAAAGAAAAAAAAAAAAGAAAAGAAAAGAAAAAGAAAAGATGTGGGACTTTATGAGTATTCTTAATAAAAAATTAGTTTGTGATCTGACTCTTTATTTTTATTTATTTTTGGTAATATCTTAATTTCAAAACAAAATACTCACTGACATATAATTAAAAAAATACAATTCTGCCAACATTCTAAATGAATATTTTATTATATAGAAATTCAATTACTATACCGTTTTTCTTATTGCAAACAGTGACACGACTTGATAATTTCTTCACTTATGTAACTTCTAAAAAAAAAAAGAGCGAAAATTGTGTTTCAGTTAAACAGTGAAAATATTATTTCATTTCATGATGCTACAAGTCTATTGTGTATTTGATGTACGGAACTGCTACATAGCTCGTATTGTCGAGCTCGAAATTGGCTCGAATCTAATTTCAGAAGCAGAGAAGGAGAAGAGAATGAAAGAGGAGGAGGAGGACTGGAGGGGGCATAATCACAGGGGGAGAAGAAAAGGAAGGAGGAGGAGGAAGGAGGAAGGGGAGGGGCTCGGCCGACGGCAGTGGTGCTGCGACGAAGAGGAGGGGCTCGGTGGGACCGGAGGCGACGGCGGTGGTGCTGCGACGATCGCTGGTGCTACGACGAAGCGAAAGGGCTCGACCGACGGTAGAAGCGGAGGGGCCCTCTCTTCTCTCCATTCCCTCTTCCCCTCCTCTTTCTCTTCTCCTCTCTTCTTCCTTTCTTCTCTCCCTCTTTCTCCTCTGTTTTAGACCACCAAAACGCCCAAAACGACATTCGAGCCAATTTCGAGCCAAGATTTTCGAGCTACGACTCATTTTCCTTTGACGTAAGTCTTTCTTGTATTTAGCGCAACAATTCTGTTATGTAGCTCGAGTTTTTTGTGGCTCGAGTAGCTTGATATTTGACTTTTCAACCCCTCTCGCTCTCCCCTTTCCCTCCTTCCTCTATTTTTCTTCATTGTCTCTTCTCTGTCTCTCCCTCTATGAAGAAGAGGAGAGGCTAATGGCAGCTCACAGAGTGTATGGCAACAAATGGGTAAAAATAAAAAATCAATCCTAAAAATCAAAACTCAGAAAAAAACAAACTCAAAAATCATCCAAAAACCAAAACCAATCAAAAATTAAAACCCATAAACCAAAAATCAAAACTAGACAAATCAAACCCAAAAATCAAAAAACCCCAAAACTAAAACCAATCAAAAACCAAAACCAGACAAATCAAACCCAAAAATCAAAACAAAAAATCAAACCCACAACCACAAACCAAAACAAATAAATCAAGAAATGAACAAATCAATGAAGATGGAGAGTTCAAGGGAGAGAATGACTCCACCCCTCCACCCACCGGCGACGCCATCACCTTTTCTGCGAGCAAATCCATTTCTTCTTCTCTCTTCTCTCTTCTTCAGTCTTCTTTTTCTGTCTGTTTGAGAGAGCAAATAGAGGGGGAAAAGAAAAAGAAAAAGAAAAAAAAAATCTAAAACGACGTTATTTTTGATAGTCAAGCCATTCGGATCAATAATGTTTCGAGCTACGAAATATTATTCTTAGGAGTTGTTTGGAATATACTAAATAAGTGTACTTTTTGAATTTTTATAAAATATGAGTTAAGTTTAAACTGATGTAATAAAGAGATGATGTGACTTAAATAAAATAGTGACTTTTTAACTTTTTTAAAAAATACCAAACCTAACCTTAGTGCAAATCTTTTGTGTCAGATTAGCACTTTTTTTTTTTTACTTATAATATAATTATTTTAAAACTTTCTTATTTAAAAAAAAAATGTGTGGATTTATGGCTCTATCTATCTAATAAGTTGTTGGGACCTTTTTTGTCCAAATAATTTATGTTTTGGTGAGGGGGGGTCCTCCTAGGCTTGAAACAGTAGCAGTGGGACCACAGGGAAGGACAGTGAAGTGAGGTGTTTTTGGGAGGATTAGTAAAGTAGATAAAGTGGCGTTGTCATATTTAACTTTCCTACTCACATGCTATGTCCCACGCACTACTACTACGACATGTGAACAGAGTTGCCCACCCTGTTACATGAATCTTCCTCTCATATCATGGGGAGAAAATTGATCGAAATCAATACTCATTCTGGCTAAATATAAAGCAAGTAATTACATTACAAAAATATTAGTGTAAGTGATTTTGTGATTTAATGTAAATTAAAAAAAGAAAAAAAAAAAGTGCATATGCATGTAATCCTTTACCTTGTTATGAGCTGAATTTAAGTAAGTACCTCTGAATTTAAAAAAAAAAAATTTAAGCAAACTTTTCTTTATTCAAATCGTGATTTTTGACTAGTGTTCTCTATCATCTTTAAAACTAAAAAAAAGGCTCATCGAACTTTTTTGTTTTCAAATCGTGATTTTTGATTAGGGTTTATTGTCAAATGGCTACATGATTTTTGATTATAGAGAGAAATGCGAGCAAGAAATTAGATTTTTTTTTTTAAAAATTTAAATTTTCGCCAATTGTGTGCTCTAAAGTGAACTTCTTCTTCTTGCGTTGGAAGGGAGCTATTGTCTTCAGGATCTCGGTTGATTCGA